ATACACACCATTAGGGAACCCAAAACCTTACCTAAATTTGAAATACCCAAAGATCTAACGAGATGAAGAACCTCAATCATTAACAAAAAAACATTCTCGTGAACGATCAAAACAAGATCACATACCTCGAATGAGACTAAACAGACCCCATTAATATGTAACTAGCTCGAGAAGACTTCCATGGTGATCTAGAAATGCTACCAACACTTTAGTCATCAATCGCACTATAAATCCTACCAAAACAACATGCCAAAAACTAGACTCTACGTAGATGAAGGCCATACCTAGGAAATTGAACAACGCTACCCCAACATCCGAATTAATAGCATAAGAGAAGGTTTACAATGTATGTATGAATTAATTTTTTAAATGACTTGATAATAAACTAATATCCTATTTGTATAATAATAATAAAAAAACACTAGATTTATAATCATAAAAATAGGTTGTCGGGCGTTCACTGCAGCTTCCCCAATTTGTGGGGATTTAGGGAAGGATGCTCACATATGACGAAATGCTAAGACACCAAAACACATTGCAACTCTTCTCCTGTTCACCCCTATTTGAACCCCTCGTGATTATAACTTAGGAACTCCCTGATAAGGAGTCATTGCCTTAACCATGTGAGTCTTCATATGACAATTAAATTCATGTCATAATCTAACTCTAAAAAGTAGAATTCCCGTGTCATAGAAGTAGTGGAAAAAGAAAATAATCTCATAAGAACTCTATAAAACAATAATTGGCGCACCGAAATTGACACACCTAGTAATAATAATTGTTAGCAATATATTCCTTTGTTGAAATTACAACAATTGTTAGCTTACAACAAAGAACTAAAAACAATTTAAAATGTCGATCACACAAAATAAAACATGTCTCTTTCTTCCAAAATCAAATTTCCCAAAATGGGAGCCTAATGATTGATCTGTGAAATTATAACATTAATGTTAAAGATTCAAATATTAAATGCCCACAACGTTGCTAATCTCCCTCTTTCTATACTGATAAAAGAATAGTTTATCTTCTTTTGTCATGTGACACTCTAATACATATCTTAATTAATATTATGCTATGTGTCACTTTATTGTTTCTCAGTTTTAAATGTATCCCTAATAAATTAGCAATAAATATGGCTCAAGAAATCAAGATATAATCCCATAAAATTAGCATTTCATTTTCAAAATACTATAAATAAACAACTATCAAAAAGCTAATCAAGTTAGACGTTTTAAATGATTAGATACTTACACTGTATAAATTACATAAAAAAAATATTTGTTTGCATGATTAATGATTGTTATTCTTATAGTCTCTATGTTGTTTTATGTTTTATTAATGTTGATCAACCTTGTTGTAACATCCAAAAAATTATGACCAAAAATTTCATTTTTAATTATGTTACTTATAAAACAGTTTACTGAAAAACATCATCGATATCATATCAATCCATAATCTCATAAGTCAAATGTCATAAAACATGTCGTGGACTAATAATAATGTCAGAGTACAATCTGAAGAACATCATAGTGTGGAAATCATGTGTGTGATGCGCAACTACTATGCCGACTCCTTTCCCTTCTAAGAGGAAGTACCTGAAACCAAAACTGAAAACCATAAGCACAAAACTTAGTGAGTTCCCCCAACATACCACACACCATACAATATCATAGTGCCAGGAAATTTCGGGGTGTCTGACCTACCCATGTCAAGTCATTCTAGGGTGCTTGATGTACCTAGGTCAAGCCATTCTGGGGTGCTTGACTTACGAGGGTCAAGCCATTCTTTGGTGCTTGACTTACCCGTTGGTTTATCTCAACCGACTACTGGGGACTATTTTACTCATACCACTACTACATAATAACATAACGTAAACATACTGTCAGGCAGTTCTGGGGTGCCCGACCTACCCTTCGGTCCTTACGACCGTGACACGGGGACTATTCCCCCTACTACCTGACATCATACCATGATAACACATAAAACATATCAGGTAGTAGCAAACCTAGATAATTATCACAAATACAATCATCTATCAAACAACTCTTACTAGTGGGTCGGCATTGTGGCCTTAGACCCACTTCTACTGGAAGGTAACTCACCTCGTAAAGCTACATGTCGAATCTTATGGAAAATAATCTCTAACAGCTGCTCTGATGACTCCCAGCTATCATAATCATAATAACACTCAATCAGAACCTATAACACTACTTAGGGTAAAATGACCATTTTACCCCCTGGCCTAATTTGAACCATTTATAAGGTCCAATTCTAACTTATTAAACCAACCCTTCTATGGCTCATCAAAGGCTCCCTAAGGGCCCACTAATGGCCCAAATTTCTGAATTGGGTCGTATTCCCCAAATGGGCCCATTACAAGTCCAAAAGTTCTTAACCCAATAATAATTTCAAAAGACCCAACATGGCCCAATAGGTCTAATGCTCTACTTCCAGATTCCCAAGCCTAAAATATACTCCACGGTGGGCCACGGGGCCCAATAGTCCAGGCCCAGCCTCTAAGGCCCAAAAGCCCAATGTAGCCATTATGCATGTTGCATGCGTACGTACGACCTACCTAACACGTACGCCCAACGTATGTTGGCCTTGACTGAAATAGAGGAGTTGACCCAGTACGCGCAACGTACCAGGGTGTACGCTTAGCGTACTAGCCAACTTTCTTGGGACTTCCTTTGTGACTTAATCCATTAAGTCTTCACGTCCAAAATGTAGATCCAGGTCCTTTAAGACCTCCTAATCCATAAAGTCACAAATTTATGTGCTTGCATGCATGGTTGGGGGTCAAAACATGATTTTAGTCCTTTAACAAGCTTTATGACCACCAACACTTGCATGGTTGTGGCTTAACCATCAAGGTTCAATTTTTATGACTCTTAGTGCCTCTAAGAGCCCAAAAGGATAGCTCTTATGGTCTAAAATCATCAAGATGCAATAAGCCTCAACAATTGAGTCCAAAAGTGGCATAAAACACCCCAACATCAAATCTAAACATGCAATGATCAAATTTGAAGCTTGATACCTCAAATGAGTCAGAAATTGTGCTAATCTTCTGGATCTACAAGCTCTTTTTGAATCATTGCTCCTTCTTCAACCTCCTTTTCTTCTAAAACACCAAAATCACACAAAGAAGCTCTCAAATGGCAAAAATACACAAAAGTAGGTTAGGGTTTTCGAGGTGGCTGCTTAAGGGTGATAGGGAGGCTGGTCCAAGGACATAATGTCCTTCAAATATGGATCAAACCCTAAAATACAGGGTTTAGGACCTGCGCGCATATGTTGCGCGTACCCTTTGGTACACTGGGCGTATGTGCATGGCCTCCCCACCCAATTATCTTGAGTACGCTGAGCGTACCTGGCATAGTACGCCCTGCGTAATGCCCTTCTCAGCCCAACGATCCTGGCCCAAACCAAAACAACCCATTATTCAATAAGATAAATAATATTAATACCTGATAAATCCCGAATGTTACACGTGTAGTATACGGGTTATCACCTAGTCATTCATATTTATCTGCGTATATAAAAGGCACCATGAAATCTTCAATGTGAGTGGTAATTTACCATTTTTGAAGTATACCTTTGCACCTTTGAGTTTTTGTCACCATTATACTTGATTTAAAATTTAAAAACTTTTTAGAGTTGCAAACCAAATAATTAATTTTAACTTTTAAAAGAATCAGTTATGATAAAAAAAAATAAAAAATAATACAGCATGTTGCATGTCTGTCTTTAATACGATGTAAACTTTTTGAAGTTCAAAAAACAATAATAAAATACATGTAAGATTTTGTGAAACATTGGTATTTTTTTAAAACTTATAGAAATACAATATTTTTAAAGTTTTGTCGATAGATAGATTAATTTCTGCATCTTATATATTCACCGTCTGAAAATAATAATTATTTTCTAGAAATTTATTTACCATACAAATAAATTTAACAAAAGAATTTGCCATGCCTTAAAAGAAAAAAGAAAAAAAAAAACAACGGTATTTTATAAAATAAAAAATATCATTTTTCAAAATTAGTCATGCCTTTTAGAAAAAAAAAAAATGTCCCCATGCCTTATATAAGAATTTGCATGCCTTAGAAAAAAAAACAATATTATTTTAGAATACTTATAAGAGTTTTAGTCACTTAGAATTCTAGAAAGTTATTTACCCTACAAATAAACCCCACATAAAATTTAACATGAGAAATGTCATGCCTTAAAAAACAAATGACATTTTAAAATAGAAAAAGATAAAAAAGAAAAACAATAGTATTTTAGGAAAAAAGATGGCATTTCAAAGGTAGTCATGCCTTAGGAAAAAAAAATGGTCCATGCCTTGAAAAAAATGGTCCATGCCTCTAAAAAAAATGGCTCATGCCTTATAAGAACTTGTCATGCCTTAGTAGTCATGCCTTAGAAAATTATTTTAATATTCTGGAACTCTTGAAGAAAGTAATTTACCATACAAATAAATCTCACATAAAATTTAATAAGAATTTGTCATGCCTTAAAAAAAAGGAAAAAACAATAACATTTCAAAAACAGAAAAAAATAAAACAATATTATTATTTTTTTTTTAAATGAGATTTATAAGATGTCATAAGAATTTATTATGCCTTGGCAAAAAGAAAAGAAAAAACAACGACAAAACAAGAAAAAAGAAAAGAACTCTTTTTATAAAAGAGTTTCAACGAAAAATGCCCTCACGCAGGATCGAACTACGGACCTCCAGTTTACAAGACTGGCGCTCTACCACTGAGCTATAAGGGCTCTTGTTACATACTTGGGATCTTTAATATAAATTGTCAATTAACCCTATGGTGCGTGAAAAAAACCAAATTAACCCTATCGTAAACGAACAATGTACAAATCTTTTCCGCAGGCAGTGAATTTCTTCGTTTTTGTATTCGATAGACGTTGCGTTCACCGGCTCTGGTGGAATAGTAAGACGCAAGCAAAACGATTGATCGATCTGGTGATGTTTTTTTCTATTTCCTTTCCTTTCTTCTTTATTAATCATCAATGACTTGTAAAATACTGTACACTGATGCGTTTTCAACATATTTCTCTAAAGATTTACAATTCAATGACAACACCAAAGTTTCAAATCACATACAATCATTTATTTGAATACAAAGTCAGAGTACAATCACGTTAATCACAAGCATAAATCAACAGTAGATACTAAATCACAACAAAGTTCAGTGCAGCATATAATAAGCTTGTTAGTCAGTGCAGCAACGATACAAGAAAAACCTCTCCATCGATCGCCCGCATTCAGCGCAAACAACTCTCTCCGGCACACTTCCGGTGGTTCCGGGCAAAATCAGGCGATTGCAGTGATGCGGCGGCTGGTTTGCCTCAAGATGATCATTCAAAGCCGGCAGAAACCCTCTCTCTTGAGCATCCCCTTGCCAATCATTGTAGTTCGTCAATCCCTTCAAAACACTCTCGCCGCTTGCCCTACGCATCCAGTCGTTTGAGCCACGGCAGATCACCGCCCATCCCTGGTCGTTTCCGTCGTAGGTAAGCATCACATTAATCTCCCTCAAAATCGGATCTTGCTCAAAAGACTTCCCGTGTTGTAACTTGGAGTGCAACATGCTCTCTAGTCGCACCCAGAAGAACCATATCAGGGTCAAATCTGGAAGCACGTAGCTAAGATTCTCTGATCGGATTATGTCATTGTTCTTTCTCACTTTCTCCCTAGGGTTGCTCTTTCCGACATACAACATCTCCAGCTGGATCCCTGCTGCACGCGCCACCGCCTGTGCAGTGGTTGTAAACCTCCTTATCCACTCCAAATCCTCCCCTCCGTACAAACAAATGTACTTCCCGTCAGCAATCTACATGATAATCAGGAAAATATGAATATCAATCGGATTAATTTTACAGTAATTAGGTTAAAAAAGAGAATAGAATTAATAGAATACCCAATTGAAAATCATTGGCTCGATGGAATCTGCTAGCAACTCAATCCTCCAAGTTTCCTCCTTCCACAGGGCTTCTTCCCTCAAGCTAGTGAAAGGGAAAGCCACACTCCCCCAAATCCACATCATATGTAACGCGTTGGTGTTAACAATCCTCCCTTGAGGATCCATCACCACCAACATTGGTTTCTGGTTGAAGTGCCACACCTCCTTGATGTACTTGATCGCTGCTGGATCAAGTAACGAGGGGTGGAACACTGAATACCATGGCATCATGTTCCGTACCCCCTCGAACTTGATCTGGTTCTCATCGGTCCACGGTGTGGACCGAAGATTGGGAACCACCGGGAGCCAGACGACTTCGTACTGGCTCTCGGGCCTTGTTGGGCTTTGCTTCGCTTCCCTATACATCTGGTCAAGAACCGATAGCTCTTCCGGTGGGATGTCAAGGTCCGAAATGAGAAGCAACACAATCTTTTTCTTTAGTACCTCGATTGTAACCTATATAAAAATTAAATTCGATTATTTATTGTATATCTAAAATCTAAATATATAATAAAGTTTGATGAAAATTATGCAGTTGATCGAACACTCACCCGAGTCTTTGTAGAGCTTTCATACAAGGGCGGTTGATCGTCCTTCAAGTAAATCAAATGCCTGAGAGGCTTCGTGTTATCGAGATGTCCCGTATCCATAATGCGAAGAATCGTTAGGTACGCTTCAATCTGCCTCTTTTCATCTAGTTATCATTATCAAAATTTCGACTTAGTTATGAAAATTTATGCATACACGTTCATTAAGTGATGATATTTAACGTTTTTCTTCTTACTAATGTGGTGATTGCAGAGATCTAACTGATCTTTGAGATGATCATGAATATTGCTGATCTTGTGGGCCAAACTCGATAACTCCCAAGCTTCTGTGGTTGTCGTAATATGCCTAAGTTCAGAAAAAACCGTTATATTCATTGATAAGTTGTAGTAATGGAAGTAATTTGTGTTTTTCACTTTTGGATAGAAAAAAAAAAGAAAGAGAATTGATAACATACTCATGGCCCATTCCGATAAGGTTGATAAGTATGGACGCACAAGCCACAATGCTACGGATAATCCAATAAACCGCAGTGGGAATATGAGCGGTTGCCGTCATTAATTCCGGTGTCTCGGGGGTGATATACTGTCCCGGGAGCTCTTTAAATTCAACAATGCAACGTGTCAACTCAAGCATGGCCTTAATGAGGGTGGTGACAGCCTCAAACCTCGGTTTGAGAGCTTCACCACGCTCAAGCACGTCAGGTAGCTGTTTCAGGTGGGCCAGTGATTTGGCCAGTGGGTTGGCAGTATAAAGTTGTGCCACCAACCAAAACTCGCCATAATTCACCGCAAAAGCTGCTAAAGAGATAACAGCTTTTGCATCCCACTCGTAGTTGGAAAGCATGTTGAAGATCCCCGTAGTGCTTGCATGTGCGTCTCCACCACCAATACACTTGCAAGAAATCTGTAATGCATTTCAAATGTAAAAAATCTAACACAAAAAAATAGTTGACGAAAACATTTTTTTTTTACGGTTTTACCTCGCACGAAACCTTATTGATTGTGATTGCCATTATTTCAAGCATCTCGTCAAGATCGCTGTAAATCACACGCTCAATAATCGCATCCACTTCCGCTTGATTACCCTACAAATAAAAAATCAAATTTTAGAATTCGATATTCGAATAAATGTATGGATTTTAATTTTTTACATACAATAGGAGCGGGTGGTTGGGTGTTGGTGGGGGCGGCCCTACGCATGATGTCATCGATGATCTGGAGAAGAGGTTTAACATCAAAAGAGGAACCATCTGGAGCATGTGTGGCCAATATATGTTTCATCATGGCATTGTCATCCGAAGATGAGAACATATGGCGGTCGCCTCTTGGACGGCGGCTTGTGGTGGCAGCAGCCATTGAAGGTGTTGGTTGTGCTTGTTGAAGAAATGAGAGATTGAGTTCAGTTTGGTGAAGAAATAGAAGGTTTTTAGAACCTTTTTATACACTCCATAAGTGGAATAAAGTGATAGATGAATCTTGTACCTTGCTTGTCTAGCTTCATCTAAACATAACTTTGGATTTTTGGATTTATCTCTTTATCTTTTCCCTTTCAAGCATCCATTTCTTTAGTTTACTTTCTTTTTTCGTATTATACCAAGCTTGTGAAAAAAAATGTCTCCAAAATAGGTGTTAGAACAAAAAGGAAGGGTTTTGTTTATTTTTTGATAATTCATCGCGTGTTCCTTGCATGCATACTTTTTCTTTTCTTCTTGTGGTGCGTCTACTTATTATATAAGCCAAAAGAGGTACCTTACTTTTTTATTTTTACTTTGATCCACCCTTATCCATGCCAAGTACTCAAGAAGCTTGAACAAAACTCTTATAATAAAAGCAAAGGACAAAAGCTTATTTATGTAACTAATTGTCTTAGTTTTTTTTATTTAGATAATGTAATCTTCTGTAATAACCCTTTGACCATCATAATAGTTCGTTACCCAAAATGTTTATAAAATCACAAGTATCAGGATCGGTCCTGAAAAATGAAATATTCTTAAAGGCCCAGGACGAACAAGAAAAAAAAGGATCCTTATCTTTATTATAATTTTGTATTTTTAAATAAAAATATATAATGAAAAGAATTGGACCCTCTGGACCTGCCCACTTTGTCCCCCCTTTAAGCCCCCATGACAAGTATGTCCGATGGTAATCAAAACATAACTAAAGTGATAACGCTAAAATCAAAGGGCAAAAAACAATATAGATCAAATTTCAAAGCGTCTCTCTTTATATATATAAATGTAACAAGTGATATTGTCATCTCAAACACATATGAAGATAGTATGTTACATATGAAGATAGTATGTTGGGTTGGAAGCCTACCGCTACACATAGTACTTATGAGATAGTACTTATGTTGGGTTGGAAGCCTACCGCTACAGTTGGGTTGGAAGCCTACCGCTACACATAGTACTTATGAGTTATGACTCTATCAATAGTTAGATATTAAAATATGAATTTCAACAACCCTTGTGACTTTGTGAGGATTTACACAAAATGACAATGCACTTAGGGCTGACAATTCTCGATACGACCCGCGACACGACACGAAATAAATGAGTTTGGGTTGAGTTTTTCAACTCGCCAACCCGTTTATTAAACGGGTCATATATGAGTTTCTCAAAAAATAAACGGGTTGACCCGCCAACCCGTTTATATTCATAGTAAAAAAATTATTATATTTTTAAATATATTTATGTATCAAGTATTAATATTTAATAAGTATTATATAATATATACCATTTATTCATAGACCATTTGATTGTTTTGATATTATTACTCGTGATGGATGGTCTAAGGTCATAAGTCGTAACCTATAAGGTTAAGTCTGTAACATGTTTCTACGAATGTTTTTAATTTTCATTTGGATGTTTAAGACTTAAATATCTAAAATTTAGACCCACAAACCCAAATCTGATCCATAAACCCGTCAACTTGTGAACCCGTATAAATAAATGGGTTGGTGGGTCATATATGGGTTTATGTTCCAAACCCGCCAACCTGTGACTCGCCAACCCATGACCTTTATATTTAAATGGGTCGTGTTTGGGTTGGCATATTTTGACCCGCCAACCCAAACACGACAGGATTACCAGGCCTACATGCACTTGATAATGGAGACCACTACAAAATGCATATGTGGTCATATTAGATGCATTTTATTCATCGTTTAGCATGATTATTTTACATTTTAGCATTGCATTTTGCATTATAACTTCATGTATTTTACTATTTTTGGGGATTTTGTGCAATTTTGGTGTTTTTGGAAGACACTTGGGACTTAATAGGAAGCTTTCGGATGAATTTCTGAAGAAACCAAGAAGTTTGAAAAATCATAAAATGGTCATTTGACAGAAAGATACATGGGCCGAGTAATTGAAAATTAGAAAAGGCAAACAAAAATTTAAACATGCCATTTAATTGTAGCATAATTTTACACTGGTCATGTTACAGTTATTTTTTAAACACATTCCAACTAGAGAAGAAGGGCGGATGTTTTTAAAGAACTTGGTTGTTGGGAAGCATTAAAAACATTTGAACAAGTTTAATTTTAATAGTTTTGTCTTACTTGTATTGATTACTTTGGATTAATGTTGGAAACTCATTTGGTTTAGTAATGTAATAGTTGTGAAACTTATTTATTACATTGTTTAATTTAAAATAAAAAAATAAAAAAATACAAAGATCAAAATATTTAAAAACTTTAAATTTATAAGAAAATGAGAAAAATAATGAATTATTATAATGGAAATGTTTTTTATCTTTTAAATTTAAATAAATAAAGGAATTAATAAACTTTAATTTTGAGAATTTTGAAATTAAAATATAAGTTCATTAATGAAATTGATATCAATTCATTACTACATTTATTGCAATTATTATATTAAAATATTATGCGAATTTCATAAAATAAAAAAACTCATAAAATAACATGTAGAAAAACAATTAATTCAAAATAACTACAAAATGATATTTGACAAATTAAATGAAAATGTAACAATGGGCAAAAAAAAACTTTCATTTATTAGAGATGATTTTTTTTTGATTAAAAACTTGTGAATGTCTACTCGTTGGAATAATTTGGTTCCAATTAAGACTAATATTCTAATTTGGAGGATTAGATTGTCTTGTATCCCTACTAGAAAGCATTTATCTTATAGGGGTATCCTGGTGGATTATATTCTTTATCCTGTTTGTTTTTCTAGAGTGGAGATTGTTGACCATATTTTTGCAGATTGCTCTGATTTGATTGCTTTATGATCCCGTATTACGATTTGGTGGGGTACTAATTGTCATTCTCAGTTGTTTCAATTGGGCTGCTACTACCACCTGGAGAATCGGTCAGCGCAAAGCTTTTGATGTAGTGATCTTGAATACCTTTTGGTGCATTTGGAATTTTAGGAACGGTGTGATTTTTAGAGTGGTTATGCCTAAGAAATCTATGATTTTTTATGATGTTTATAAATCTTATGTTTGGATTTCTAGTAGGTGTAGTAAAGCCAAGATTAATTGGTCATTTTGGCTTCATAATCCTATTTCAGCTACTATTTTGATGTAATTTTTTTCTAACGTCTTGCTAGTCTAATAATATCCCATCGTTCCAAAAAAATATATAAAAACATATATTACATGTTTAAAGCCCTTCGAGCATATGAAAGAGATTAAACATTATTGGAAATTTGATAAAAAAGAAAAACTTAATATAATCTTAAATTCAGTCGTAGGATTAGGTTTAAATAAAAAACAATTTTTTATTAAGCAAATTGACAATTAAAATAGACTTTAGAGTTTGTTAATGTCTTTTAACACCAACTTAAATCGTATATTGATTCCTATATAAGCCTAAGTTTAATAAACAATTCAATGAATATACTTCAAATCAAATGTTTTTACTATAAATTGTTTAATTCACATTTTGATACATGTTTTTAGTTCAAGCTAGTACTTTAAAACAAAATACTATGTTGGCACGAGATTGATTAATTTGTATCTATGAGGACATAAACCTTGTTATTGTTATGCTACTCGTTTGTCTGCATAGTCGGTTCATATTTTGTTATTTTTATTTGTTGGTTAGACGATCCAAAAGTTGACATCATTTTGGGGATATGACGTATTAATCGTTTTATGGCAACATTTTTTAATGTATTCTAGGTGTGAGCCCTATGTATTACATGGGTGTATTTAAAACAATTAAATATATATAAATATTTGAGAAATTTGAATTTATAAGAAAAATAAAAAAATATCGAATTACTAAAATTAAAGTGTTTTTTTTCTTTTTTAAATTTAAACAAATCATTTAAATAAAATAATCAAAGCAAATTAATGAGATTTTATTTTAAAATTTTGAAATTATAAGGAAAGTTCATTAATGAAATTGATATACATTTATTATTAAATTTAAATACCATATGAAATATAATAAAATAGGAAAACCACAAAATTACATATGGAATAAAAATTAATTTAAAATAACCACAAAATGATATGTGGCAAAATGAATGAAAGTGTTACAAGTGGCAAAAAAAAACCTTCATTTATTAGAGAAGATACATCTCGAGATTGGCACAAAGGAAAACACAAGAAACAGGAAACAAGTCAAACTTTGAAAGTAGTTAGCCGATTCCTTCAACTCTTCATCCTCACCACTTATAATATATACTTGATAAGACATTCCTTTATAAGTTGAATTTAAAAGCTATTTAAGTTTGATTTGTATGATTAGGTTTGATTAAAAAGCTTGTTTTGATTAAACAAATTGATAAGTAAAATAGACATTAGAGTTTGTTAATGTCTTTTAATATCAACTTAAATCGTAATTTGATTCCAATATGAGTCCAAGTTTAATACACAATTCAATGAATAGACTTGTTTTTGTAACATCCTAAAATTTAAGATTATGTTCTTAAAATTAATAAGGTAAATAAATGAAAGATGATTTATTTAATTAAATCATTAAGAAATAATTATATCATTAATTGATATAAAGTTTAGAAGGTGTAAAGTGAAAATAATAACATTTTAAAAGTTATAGGACCAAAAGTGTCAAATTAACAAAGTGAATTAACCAAATGGTCGGCTGAGTTAGTGGAAAGGACTACCAAAGTTATATAATGGATGGATGAGGACTTCTTATGTCATAAATTAAGTTAAAAACACAAAATGTGAGTTATGGTGGGAATTGGCAAAAATACTCAAACTAGAGGGACCAAATGTGTAAAATCTGAAAATAGGAATCTCTTCATTTTTAGCCAAATGTGATCGATGAAAGGAAGTAGAAGGCTATAAAATGGCTATTCTTCACTCCTTGGCACTGAGGGCTTGATTCAAGTGGAGTTTTGAAGCATCCAAGTAAGAATACAAGCAATCAAAGGCCAAGAAGGTATAAATCCTTCTTCGTTA